CCCTTTCCCTTGTTCCCCATAATGCTTAGAATAAAATAACATGTCATCTATCAATCGTACAGCTTCCCCAATATTTCTATCTTTTATATATCCAACTTGATCATGATGAATTATTTCATTTAAAACCTCTTTCATTCTTTTTGCTAGAACTTTAGATACAATTTTATAATCTACATTCAAAAGCGTGATGGGTCGATAATTTTTTTTATGGAGAGTATCTTTCGCTTCCTTCTCAATTAAGGTAATTACCCCTTGTTTTTGAGGTGCCGTTAATTCCCCCCTTTCGTATGTTTCATTCAATACTTCTACTAACAAATCACCCAAAGCTGGCCAAAAAGTATAATAAAATCCAACTGTTAACCCATCATTTCCCGGGGTTTTATTCAATTTCATTTCTTTTAAAACTTTCAAGCATTCATCTTTAGCTAATTTACCTTCACAGATTTCCCTATTGTCTTCATTTAACTTTGAAATATCATTAAAAAAGAAAGGGTCGTTTTGATTTATATCAGCCCTTAAAGAATATAAATCTTTATAAAATAGTTTAATTTCCTTTAAAATGTCCTCCTTATCTCTAGTAGTTTCCCCATTTTCTTTGTACACCTCCCTAATTACACTTTTCCTTTTATTCGATTTTAACAACTGTTCAAAATATTGCGTACTGTTTTCTCCATCTTCAAACCAAGGTGCTCTTGATCTTATTTTAATGCCCTGTCGAGAAAAATCATACAATTTATTTAGTTTATCCCTTTTCTCCTCAATACAATCAACAATATATTTAGTGGGTCCCACTACCAGTTCACCTTCTAAATCCTTGATTTTTTTCTCTAACAGTTCTTTTTCAACCCTCCTTGTTTTTGCCCTTTTCCGCGAGTATGTTATAATAAATTCTCTCATTTTCATCTTTAAAAAATCCCAAAATACTAATTTATTCAAAATCTGTAATGACCATTCAGCTTTTAATTCCTGTATTTCCTTATTCATCTCTTCAACAAAATCTTTATCCATACATAAACTACTGTTAAATTTCCAATATGATTTCCCCAAAACAAACTTATCAACCAGATCATTAAATTATAGCCTAACGCCAGAATGATCAGGCGTAATAGATGTCAAAATCTCACACTTACCCACCAATTTTTCAACACTACAAGGTATAAACCAATAATCTAAACGGCTTTGCACCACCGGCCAATTTTGTCGAAAAGTAAATTGCTTTACATTCGGATTTTTTTTCCTCCATATATCTTCTAAATCGTATTTATTTTAAAATTCCTTAATCAAATCAATAACCCGAGATTTCACCGGTGTTTTTGACCCCACATAATCTAATTTTCCATCCAATATACTATTGAAATCACCTCCTAATAAAACTAAATAGTCCCGATCACACTGATCAAAAATACTTTCATCTAACTTCTTCAAAAATTCAATTTGTAAAGTTTCTTTATCTCTCGTTGGAAAATAAACATTAACCAATAGCATTTTAACCCTTTGTATTTCACCTTTAAAAATAATGTATCTCCCCTCTTCATCTACTTTATTTTTTTTTCTTCAAAATCTAAATGATTAGAAAATAAAATAAGAACCCCTCTACTATGGCTTGACCCATGACTAAAAAACATTGGCCCTCCCCAATCTTGTTTCCACCGCTCTTCTATCTCTACTGTACTATATGTTTCTTGTAAGAAAATTATACTATTCTTTTTAGTTTTGCACCATTCAAAAATATTCACTCTTTTTAACCTATCTCTTATTCCTCTAACATTTAATGTCATGAAAGATATTTTCACTGCCATGTTATGTTATATGTAATTGTATCCAAAACCTTACATTGATAAACTCCAAAGAAACTTCCACATAATCTATTTCCACCGTGAGCAAATGTATAGAAAAAACTATCTGCAGCCAAACATACATGCATACTTATCGTCGAATTATATTAAAAAATGCAAGCAGAATCCACCCCGTACCACACAACCCAACGCATTCATACACACAAGCATATTCACTACACACACAACACCCCCACACAAAACAACCCAAATCTGCTCTTCGGTGTACGTAAACATCCGAGAGCAAGAGCCTCCCCCTTTCCCTGTCAATTTAACTAGACCAATGACAGAACTCCTCATCTCAATTCTTAACATTTCTTCTTGTACAAGTCGATGAGAAATACGTTGTATTGTTATATAACCGTAATCTAATTAAACAAAAACAAAAAATACAAAGAGCTTTTATCCCTTAACAAATGCCTTTAATTGTATTACGGAATCCGCTTGTCATAACTAAGTTAAATGATTTTCCTAAAATGAATTACAGTGAATTGACCGGCCCGCGTACCTAATCACAATACGCACCTTCTAATTAAAAATAAAAACACGATCCCAATAAACCAAATTCCCCCAAACGACACCAGTTCGGCAACCTAATAAACTGTTCGTGCAAACCGAACCCATCATGCTATCATTTACCAAGTTCTATAATTTGCATAATATGCCTCACCCATGAATAAATAGACCGACTCACGCACCTGATCATTTTGTATGCACTCCGTAAAAAAACTCCTAAAGGGCGTTCCCGACAACTCGAAAGAACATCAAACGTCAGCCCGACATAATGATAGGCAAGCATGTATACCGGATCCCAACACGTTCCTCCCTCTCAAAACATCACCCACCACCTGGCTTAAAAAAAAAAACCACACACACACACACACACACAAACGCACACACGCACACACACAAACGAACAAACAACAAACACTATTAGAGAAAGAAGACGATTCGTTGTACCGTTCTCGACTTTTAATCCTCATCTGAATTCAGTTTTTCCCTTTCCCCCTCCTGCGCGAAGCGCGGAAGCTTTTACGTTTCATAAAATCATTAGAAAAAGAAGACGATTCGTTGTACCGTTCTCGACTCTTAATCCTCGTCTGAATTCAGTCCCCCCCCCCCCTCCCCCCTCCCGCGCTAAGCGCGGAAGCTTTTACGTTTCATTAAATCATTAGAGAAAGAATACGATTCGTTGTTCCGTTCTCGACTCTTAATCCTCGTCTGAATTCAGTTCCCCCCCCCCTCCCCTCTCGCGCAAAGCGCGGAAGCTTTTATGTTTCATTAAATCATTAGCGAAAGAAGACGATTCGTTGTACCGTTCTCGACTTTTAATCCTCATCTGAATTCAGTTTTTCCCTTTCCCCCCCCCCCCCTCCCGCGTGAAGAATGACAATCGGTTAACAAGCAAATAACAACGCATACTTTCATATAACAAATCATAAACAGCTGTATATCGAGATCACGCGAAACATATTTGCATGTTTTGAATGAACGATTGCAGAACCCTTTGACTGATAAAATATCTATATACTCTCTAAATCAATGTGAGTAAATAGCAGAGGTTATGGTTTTATAGTGATGCAATGATGGCTACATAGATTTTGTAAGATAGAAAGTATTTTATTCCAAACGAATGAAGAGGTTGTTTCATTAATAATTAATCCCTCCTCTGTGTGTTATATATATGGACCATTTTAACTGATTCGTCAGTTCTTGTGACCGCCGTCCAATCATTTATTTGTGACGTGTTGTATCCACATATGTAATAATGTAATTTATTTTTAAATGAAAAAAAAAGAGGAATAAGATGGTGGGTCTTAGTTTCGAAGATTTTTTTTTTTTAACAACCGGGTCTGAAGTAAAGACTACGCTCTAATCCCATGCTTTATTACCGGTTCCTAATTTGGATGATGGAGGGGTCTTAGTTTAAAATTTTTTTTTAGTTGTTTTGTTTTGTTTTTTGTTTTTTTGTTTTTTAACTTTTGAATAACCGGGTCTGGAGGAAAGACTACGCTCAGTACTCATGTTCTTCCACAGGAATAAGATGATGGGGTCCTAGTTTTGAAGATTTTTAATAGTTTTGAAATAACCGGACTGGAAGAAAAACTACGCTCTAATCCCATGCTTTATTACCGGGTCTTAGTTTGGAAGATGGTGGGGTCTTAGTTTACAAGTTTTTTTTTTTTTTTTTTTTTTACTTTTGAATGACCGGGTCTGGATGAAAGACTACGCTCGATTCTCATGTTATTCCACAGGAAAAGGATTATGGGGTCTTAGTTTTGAAGATTTTTTATTTTTTTGAAATAACCGGGTCTGGAGTAAAGACTGCGCGCTACACCCATGCTTTATTACAGGGTTTTAGTTTTAAAAAAAATCGACAAAATATCACTTCAAATTTATTACATTTGTGGGTGATTCAAAATTATTACATTTGTGGGAAAAGTGGTTATTACATTTGTGGGTGAAATTATTACATGTGTGGGTAAAGTGTTATTACATTTGTGGGCGTTATTACATTTGTGGGTGTAACCCTCCCCCCCCCCCCCCCATCAAACTTAAAACAGAGAGAAGGAAGGGAAGGGAAAGGAAAAGAGGAAATAAAGGGAAAGAAAAAAGAGAAAGAAGAAACGTAGGGGGATCAGTTGCGATTTTTCCCGCCAACAAGGTGTAGATCGGGGGGGGGGGGGGCGCATACTGCCGTATTGATGGGGGAGGGGCTTGTGGGAGACAGATGCTCCCAAATATATTCAAACGTGGTTTATTTCTAATTCGATACCGGTGATTAACAAATGCTTCTGAAATGGCATAATTTTCCGAAAGTTCTTCTCAATCTTTAGTTAATTATATTTTCTTATGCGTTTGTTGGAAAATGGCAAAGAAAGAAAAAATAGTAACCTGCCTTTCTCACAAAATATTGAGGTGTCAAAATTTGCTCATCTGACGGTGAATAAATGTATAAAACCCCTGAGCTTTCGGTGGCTCTGCCCCCTGGATTTTGCCTAGGGCCCTAACGCGGGCACCTGGATGCTCATCTGACGGTAATTCAATAGATGGGCAGCAAATTTCTACCCTGGTCGTGAAGTCAGTGTCGACGAGACAGTGATAGCATTCAAGGGGAGGACTGGGTTAAGGCGCTATAATCCAAACAAGCCTCATAAGTGGGGGATGATAGCTTGGAGCATTTGCGATGCCAACACCGGCTATGTCCAGAACTGGAACATTTCCACGGGGCAGGAAGTCCTGGAGAATGATCGTGGGGCCATGCACCAGGTAGTGATGGATGTCTTTGCTGGATACCTGAACATTGGACACCATATATATATATATATGGACAATCTGTTTTCTTCACTGAGTCTTTTTGAAGAGCTGGCTAGCAAGGACACCGGTGCATGTGGGACACTGAGGGCCAACCGGAGAGGTGTCCCCAATGATATCAAATCACACAAGCCCAAGAAGGACGATCCACCTTTAGTGGTAAAGGAAGGGGACATCACATACATTTCATGGGCAGACAAGCGAGCAGTAAAACTTATCACGTCTGTGCACAATGGAGACACGTTCATCAAAGAAGTCAGAGCAAAGAATGGTCCAGACCACATTAAGAGATATGTTAAACCCAAAGCCATGGAGCAATACACACAGAATATGGGCGGAGTCGACCTTGCCGATCAGCTTCTCTGGCACTCCCTGAATATCCACAGATCCTGCAAGTGCTGGAAGAATATCTTCATTGCCCTTCTCGAACTTTTTTCTGCAATGCTGTCATTGTACTTCCCTCAACGCAATGAAGCCAGCTCACCTACGAAAGAGGATCGAAGTGAACAAAGTTCGGCTATCCATCATCACTGGCCTTCTCGCAGGGTATGAGAAGCCGCGTGCTGTCCATGTGGGACCAAGACTAGAGGCTGATCAACCACTCGGAAGACTGACGGAGAAGCACTTCCCTGCAAACAACCCCAAGAGGAATGGAGATGGGAAGCCATGTTTCCGAGACTGTGAGGTGTGCTCCAACAGGGAGGGAAAACGTCACCAAACATCAACTGTTTGCAGAGACTGTGGGAACATCCCCCTGTGTGACAAGCCATGCTTCAGACTGTACCACACCAGAAGGAAGTACAAGACGGCCTGTACTCCTGCGTTTCATCTTGAGATTGACAATGTAATGGATGCGGAGCAATAGATAGCAAATATTATCTATTCCAGCTGGAATGAACTATCATGTGATACCTCCAGTGGGATTTTATTCATGTCCTTACCGTTTTATGAATTTATTTGCCATTATTTAATAAGTGCAATGTAATATCAAATACAATGACATTTTTCTGTCAGGGTTTAGATGCGAATTGTTTATATTTTTCAACTTTGCTGATAATAATTTGCTCTACAGATTATTCGCTATCATGTGATACTTTCTATTGGATTCATTCATGTTGCTTCCCATTTATTATTTTTGTAATAATAATATGCATTATTATCAAGTAAAGTAATAGCTGCTGATTTTCAGGCAAGTACATTTTGATCAAGTGTTGTGCACGTTCAGCTGTATATGTAATTGTGTCTTTACTGTCAGATGAATTCAATTGCCATGATTCCATACATGCAAGTGCAATGTAATTTCAAATGCAATGTCAGGGTTGGTGTGGAATATATTTATTTACCATTTTTTGTAATATATTGTACATTTGATAATTGTAAGGATTTTCAATATATCTTCATATTATTGGTCTTCATATGTCGCTTCCTATTTACATGTATTGTTTTTGTAATAATGCATTATTATCAAGTAAAGTAATAGCTGCTGATTTTCAGGCAAGGACATTTTGATCAAGTGTTGTGCACGTTCAGCTGTATATGTAATTGTGTCTTTACTGTCAGATGAATTCAATTGCCATGATTCCATACATGCAAATGCAATGTAATTTCAAATGCAATGTCAGGGTTGGTGTGGAATATATTTATTTACCATTTTTTGTAATATATTGTACATTTGATAATTGTAAGGATTTTCAATATATCTTCATATTATTGGTCTTCATATGTCGCTTCCTATTTACATGTATTATTTTTGTAATAATGCATTATTATCAAGTAAAGTAATAGCTGCTGATTTTCAGGCAAGGACATTTTGATCAAGTGTTGTGCATGTTCAGCTGTATATGTAATTGTGTCTTTACTGTTAGATGAATTCAATTGCCATGATTTCATACATGCAAGTGCAATGCAATTTCAAATGCAATGTCAGGGTTTGTGTGGAATGTATTTATTTACATTTTATTGTAAAATATTGTACATTCGATAATTGTAAGAATTGTTCAATATATCTCCATATGTCACTTCCTATTTACATGTATTATTGGTGTAATAATAATATGCATTATTATCAAGTAAAGTAATAGCTGCTGATTTTCAGGAAAAGATATTTTGATCAGGTGTTGTGGTACACGTGATTTCTTTTATTGTTAGAATTAAATCGCTATGGACCCATCAACTATTTTCCCTTTACTTGGTTGTTTTTTTTTTTTAATTTGTATAGTACATGTATTAGTGTTTTATCTTTTTATGATAGTATGTCCTAGATAAGAGCATAGACATTGTCCACTATAAGTCAATGCGGAGAGAGAAAGAAGGAAGGGGATACGGAGAGGGAGAAGATAGAAGGAGATGTAGAAGAAAATGAAGTGAGAGGGACAAGAAAATAACGTGAAAGAGAAGAATAAGGGAGAGTGAGGGGGTGAAAATAGAGTGAAAGGGAGAAGAAGATAGAGGGGTAAACTGAGAGGGGAAATAGGATATATAATTTAAAATCATTCAGAGAGAGAAAGAAGGAAGGGGATACGGAGAGGGAGAAGAAAATAGAGTGAGAGGGAGAAGATAGAATGAGATGTATAGAAGAAGATGAAGTGAGAGGGAAAAGAAATTAGCGTGAGAGGAAGCAGAAGGGAGAGCGAGGGGTTAAACTAGAGTGAGAGGGAGAAGAAGAAAGAGGGATGAGAAGATAGAAGAATAGACTGAGAGGGGAAAAAAGAAAGAGGACATCATTTTTTTATATTTTCCAATTGACAAGACTTGTTTATGGGGGAAAAAACCCGGATAGATAACGATATGAAAATCAGGTTAAATATTTCCATGTTATCTATAAAGCCCGTCGTCTCAAAGTTTTTGCTTCACATCTATCTTTTACGTCATTGTATTTAGATGACAATCGCTTTTCATTTGTTATCAACTTGACCAATTTAGCGAATAATTCAAAGAGAGAAAGAAGGAAGGGGATACGGAGAGGGAGAAGACAGAATGAGATGTAGAAAAAGATGAAGTCAGAGGAAAAAGAAAATAACGTGAGAGGGAGAATAAGGGAGAGTGAGGGGGTGAAAATAGAGTGAAAGGGAGAAGAAGATAGAGGGATAGACTGAGAGGGGAAATAGGATATATAATTTTAAATCATTCAGAGAGAGAAAGAAGGAAGGGGATACGGAGAGGGAGAAGAAAATGGAGTGAGAGGGAGAAGATAGAATGAGATGTATAGAAGAAGATGAAGTGAGAGACTTGTTTATGGGGGGAAAAAACCCGGATAGATAATGATATGAAAATCAGGTTGAATATTTCCATGTTATCTATAAAGCCCGTCGTCTCAAAGTTTTTGCTTCACATCTATCTTTATCGTCATTGTATTTCGATGACAATCGCTTTTCATTCTTATCAACTTGACCAATTTAGCGAATCATTCAGAGAGAGAAAGAAGGAAAGGGATACGGAGAGGGAGAAGATAGAATGAGATGTAGAAGAAGATGAAGTGAGATGGAAAAGGACGGAGAGTGAGGGGGTGAAAATAGAGAGAGAGGGAGAAGAAGATAGAGGAATAAGAAGTGGAGGGATAGACTGAGAGGGGAAAAAAGAAAGAGGACATATATTTAAAAAATTTCCCATTGACAAGACTTGTTTATGGGGGAAAAAAACCCGGATAGATAAGGATATGAAAATCAGGTTGAATATTTTCATGTTATCTATAAAGCCCGTCGTCTCAAATTTTTTGCTTAAAACCTATCTTTTACGTCATTGTATTTAGATGACAATACGCTTTTCATTTTTATTAACTTGACCAATTTAGCGAATAATTCAGAGAGAAAGAAGGAAGGGATACGGAGAGGGAGAAGATAGAATGAGATGAAGAAGAAGATGAAGTGAGAGGGACAAGAAATTAGCGTGAGAGGGAGAAGAAGGGAGAGCGAGGGGTTAAACTAGAGTGAGAGGGAGAAGAAGAAAGAGGGATGAGAAGATAGAGGAATAGACTGAGAGGGGAAAAAAGAAAGAGGACATCATTTTTTTATATTTTCCAATTGACAAGACTTGTTTATGGGGTGGAAAAACCCGGATAGATAATGATATGAAAATCAGGTTGAATATTTCCATGTTATCTATGAAGCCCGTCGTCTCAAAGTTTTTGCTTCACATCTATCTTTTACGTCATTGTATTTAGATGACAATCGCTTTTCATTTGTTATCAACTTGACCAATTTAGCGAATAATTCAGAGAGAGAAAGAAGGAAAGGGATACGGAGAGGGAGAAGACAGAATGAGATGTAGAAGAAGATGAAGTCAGAGGAAAAAGAAAATAACGTGAGAGGGAGAATAAGGGAGAGTGAGGGGGTGAAAATAGAGTGAAAGGGAGAAAAAAAAGATAGAGGGATAGACTGAGAGGGGAAATAGGATATATAATTTTAAATCATTCAGAGAGAGAAAGAAGGAAGGGGATACGGAGAGGGAGAAGAAAATGGAGTGAGAGGGAGAAGATAGAATGTATAGAAGAAGATGAAGTGAGAGACTTGTTTATGGGGGGAAAAAACCCGAATAGATAAGGATATGAAAATCAGGTTGAATATTTCCATGTTATCTATAAAGCCCGTCGTCTCAAAAGTTTTGACTCCACATCCATCGTTTACGTCGTTGTATTTACATGACAATACGCTTTTCAATTTATCAACTTGACCAATTTAGCGAATCATTCTTGTATGGACCTCCTCTTTTATGAAAGGCTTATCTCAGCTGCGTTGTCAAGAATCCACCCTAAGAGGAACAAAAGCACGTAAAGAAATAACTACTCTGGAAGATTACCGTTTTGAAAGAAGAGGATGTAGGTCTAAACTTTAAGGTCAATAGGCCAATCTACATGACAATACAAACAACCACTCTAACTTATATACCTTTACGAGGGCAATTATCCATTTTAGAGCAGGTTTGAGTAAAATATCTTGATCAACCTAAAGCCGGTCTTGGTTTTGAGCGGGAATATGAAATGTTCAAATGTTATGTTCTGAAAAACGACTTTCCTCTCTCTCCCCACGGATTATCACTCTTGTCTTGAGCAACTCAGGCGGTCTAATTATGAGACTTTTCCTGGGCAAAGATGCTACCATTGTTGAGGGAAAAGAAATGCAAGGGTACATAAAAAACAAGTTTTCTGGCAATGAAGAAAAGCGAGTGCATGATGAAGAAAATCGTGTTTATTATCATTACTATTTTATAACAATATTGTAAGCATCATCGTCATCATCATCATTTCATGTATACATGTACATGCCATCTACAAAACTGATCATGAAACAAGGATTATCAAAGTTTTATTGAACACAGATAGAGACGAAGACAAATAAATTAAATTCTCACGGTGTTTGCACTTTTTTCTTAATTGTTTCGTTATATAAAATGAATGACTATATTTTCAATATCGTTTATTTTCGAATAAATAAAAGACTACCAAGACTACAGTAACGGCGATTAACTCCTTATTAGCCACACCCTTCAAACAAAAAAAACAACAACAACGCGATGCGGAAATAAAACACACTGGAGCACAATTCCAATTTCACGAAATTCCTGACGTATTCATAGAGGGACGGGTGAGGAGGGAGACAGACAGACAGAGAGAGACAGACAGAGATAGATAGATAAATAGATATAAAGAGAGATGTGATGAATTATGATGTTGTTCTATTACAAACAATTAAATCAAATCAAATATGCGTACAAAAATCAATAAATGATTTATTGATACAGCAACCTCATATCAAAATAGGGTTCTAAGAGATTTATAGATAGAAAAAAATAAACAAAATTAAGCGGGAGGCAAAACTAAAACAAAATGAATATTTCAAATTTTGAGAATCGAAGTCGAAAGCATTCAAA